AAAGATATTGGTTGTTTATCATTAAATATATATGTAAATCTTTTAAAATCCCTCAACTGTCTCTAAGCCATCTTCTTAAGCTTATTATATCAGTTGTTTAAAATACTGTCACTAAATGGATGTTGTTCATAAATCACGTTTTCCTTGTTTTTAAATCTACTTCAAGATGAAGTGTTTTTGGTAAGACTCACTTGTCACACACAATAACCTTCAGCAGGTGTGCATGTGTCTATATTTTGTCTGTTTCAACATGCAATTGCTTTATTAGTGCAGTACTAAAGTTGTTACTAAAGCTTACCGTTATAGATTTTTTATTACTGCAACAATTTGAAAATATAAAATATTAGGTTTACATGTTTCATTGAATTAAAAAGAATGGTTGATAATCTTTCACTTCAGACAAAAAGTAGAGAGGATAAAACTTTGTGTTCAAAAATAGTCTTTCTCTCAGTTCTAATTACTAATTTAGATTGGACAATTCTTCTGTACGCATTATGTTTAATCATAAAGGATTTCTCTTTTAAGCATGATGTTTCTGTTAACTAAATGACATTCCAGAGAAACTTCTGGAATTTATACATTTTACTACTGATTGAGAATGTGTTCATGTCAGACAACACATTTTTTTTTCAAAAGTTGGTTTGACACAAAAGAATTGGGTCATTTGACCTAAGTCTTAAATAGCCTTGCTTTTAATTTTTTAAATACCAGTTTTTAGCTCCATTAATATTAATGCATTTGTTTGACTTCTCTGTTTTATTAGAAGATTATAATTTTCTTTGTTTTTATCTATAAACAATTAACTTGCCAATAAAATGAACAACAAATTTTGTCTAAATTGTTTTTCTTCTGATTGCTAATTTCATTGTCATGCCACAATATTAAAATAATTATAACCAAAAGCAATACAAGTACCTTTTTAATTTGAAGACATTGAAACAAAAAAACATTGACTTGCTTAATATTTAGCAAATTCTTGTAAAATAAAATGGGTGCAAATATTTGGGCATTTGAGCAATGAATCTGGTTATATTTTTCAGCAGGTTTATTGTGATGTTCAGAAAAATGATGGGAGATAACATTTGAGAAATTTGTTACAAGTTTTTACTAATTTGTATATCAAATTAACAATGGAATTGTTACTTGCTTTTGCAGAAAATGACTGAATGCTTTATAATAACACTACAGTAATTCACTGAAAAAAAAAGTTTGATATTTGTTTTCATCTCTTGAAGTCTTGTTTTTGATCATCTTCAGATGTTAAATTTTCTAATTTCCTCAATTAGATGTATTATATAATATTTTCTGAGATCAAGATATATATATATATTTATTAAAAAAATGCCTGTCTTTGTTAGGTTAGCAAATATTTCTAAATATGAGTCTGCTCCTAATGGCACTCTTTGAGGTTAAATTGTCTACTTTATTACTGCAGTCTTGTATGTTGTTTAATTTTTCAAAATGAGCTTCATTAAATACATGAAGTTAAGATTATGTTAAATGATAAATTTGTCTAAATGTTAAATGTTGCTTCAGTTCTTATTTTCCTACAATCCCTACATATTCATCCACACTATTCTGCTGTTGTTTTTCTTTTTCACTGTCTATAAGCACTTGACATGACAAAATAATGATAGAATATCAGGACTAACTGTAATATTGAATTCAAACAAGCAATCCCCTTCTGCTATTGAATTAACATTGTAACTATGTCACTGGGCTTGACTATTTTTAGTTGCTATCACTTTTACATTTTTTTGCTTTCCAATACACTTGTGCACTATATAGGGGTATATTAAAATAACTTTTAGTGTATGCATATATTGATATTTTTATTTTCACTTTAGTTTAGTTTTGTCACATGAATTTTTGTTTTCAAGATGTTTTTAATCTTAGCCAAATCCATTCTCAAGTGATAAAAAATTAAATTAGTGTACTATTATTTTTTTTATTCTTTAATGTTGGTTAAAAATGTGGGTTTCAGAGATAGCATTCCAGCCATCTTTTAATTCCACTTCACCATTATTTTATCCATGAACAATGAGGCAAATATTTAGTTTTTAATTAATGCATTAATAAGAGGCAAGTACATCTGTTTGGGGTTCCCAAACTAATGTGAGTTTAACTTTTCAAGGAAATTTAAAGATACTGGGTTTTTTTTTTTACATTGGTATTTTAATGGCTTTAAATGAAGCTTTAATTCACTATCTTGAGATTAATTTTGAATCTTTACCAGATACAAAGATGTGCTGAAAAGTTCTCAATCCTGATGTCAAACATATTTCTTAAGTTTCCTTAAACTTCTAAAAGTATTTTCCAATGTGTGATAATTGAAATACTGCTTTCTTGCTGCTATCATATGTGAATCATTTGAAAATTTCTTCTGTTTTGAATTCCTTTTAATTTTTGTAAACTGGAAATAGATGGAACAAGATCTGATAAATAGGGTGGATAGCCTGTGTCTTCAAATTCTCTAAAATCTTCAGTCATGTTAGCCATGTTAGTTAGTGCATTGTCTTGTAAAAAGTGAATATGTTTCTACAGTTTCCCTCACCATTTTCCTTTTGACAGTTCTTTAATTAGCAAAGTAGAATCATATTCCACATGAACTTTTTTTGGCTTTTCTGAAGATACTCATTAAAATATCTTCCTTTTCCTACAAAACCATGATCATGGTATTTTTTGCTGGCTTTGTGGTTTTTAATTTGTTGGATCTCTTGATCATACTGGTGTAATCATGTTTCATCCACAGTGAAAAATCTATGCAAAGATTTAGCACTAGATCCCTGAAAATGCTGGAAAATCAACATAAAAGTGTTCACTCAATATTGTTCCTTTGTCAGCATTGAAACATTTTGGCACTTGTTTGACTAATAACTTCTGCATAACCCAACTGCTTATCAATTATAAACCCAACATGTTCCCTGGATATCTCTTTTGTCTCAGAAAGTCCTTTGGCCAAGACTCATTGTGACTGGCCCAAATTAAGTTATGAAGATTATCAACAATTTCAGGAGTTGACATCATTTAAGGACTCCAAGACTGTGCTGTATCTTGAGTTTTGAAATATCCATGATGGAAGTTGAGTATGTTTGGCAATTGTCACCCAATATTTGCATCAAAGCATTCCTGGATTTCCTTTTTGAGTTTCCTTCTACACAAACAGAATCTTCATGACTATACAGAGTTCAAGACTTGAAAATTTCCTATTGACATGTTTCCATCAATGATTTGAAGCAAGTTCCAAAATAAGTGTATGTTTTTTTTGCAAATTGGTACTTTACAATAGAAAAGAACACTCTTCTCACCTACTTTGGTAAAAGAATGGGCTCACATTTACTCTTTATTTTTAGAAAATGAATACTTTTCTATAAATTTAAATTCCAAAAATATGCTAAGGTTTTTTTATGATTTCATTGGCACTTTTAAGTAAATATAAACTAAAATGCTCTTGATTTTACTTCCAAATATAATGTAATGATGACAACAAATAATGGAATTGCTTTGAATAGGAAGACTGGCTAATAACACAGAATATGAATAATCATAGCAAAGATAACAGAATTTATTTTTTATTTGTAATTTTTTTTATGTGATGAAAATTTAATGTCTTCCTCTTAAAGGAAGTGAAGAATGTTGACCATCATTACTTATTCTGTTAGCCATTTCTTGCTTGCTTACTTGTGGATTTTATTCTCTGCAAATTGATACTGAAAACTAATCAATTTGCTTGAATTAATAATCTCCAATAAAAGGTCAGTACAGAAGTTGCTTATTGATTTAATATTATTTTTAAATTAGAAAAAACTTTGCATATAAAAAGGAAAAAAAAACATTTTAAAAGCAAAGAAATATTAAATCTGATCATGTAGCCTGTTTGTATCTGAATGATAAATTGTTTTGACATGTTAATATACAGAACTGATTTTGAAATCACATTTAATTAATATTTTAATTAATATCCAATTTCAAATTCCATTACTCAGTTCTTATTACCATTGTTTAGATAACACAACTCTGTACCAGTTTGATGATAAATGTATTGACAAGTTAATTTTCATTTTTCTTTTCTACTGATAAAAAGTGCCAATGAGACAATGAAAGATGAAAAAATACTGAAAAATACCAAATGTCTAAATCAGTTTGTCTTTGAAACATTGACTTGATTGAATTTTCTGATTTTTCATCAAAAACATTTTATCTTGAAAATTGTTATATTATACATTAAGTTGAACAGGTATCCTCATCTTGTTTGTTGGTAACATTCTCAGAATTTCAAACTGGCTCCTTTATTCAATCCATGTGGGTAAACAGTTTTCATTCTGCTAAAGGGATAATCTCTTATTAGTTAATTTGTCTTTGTGATTCCAGATTCTGTTCATTCCACTAAATTTACAGTACATAGATTTTACTGCGTGACTTAGAGATTGAACTCATAACCACCAAAAAAATTGTATTCACTTAAGCAATACTTATATCCCCTGTGCCATTTCCTTTTTCCTGGTGAATATAAGCAGGTCATTTGATGGTAATGAGTTAAATTCTTAAGCAAAGCAGTGAAATCCATATATTCTGATGTAGTAGAACAAGTGGCGCCATGAATTATCTAATAAGATATTTCCTAGCATGTATAGTGGAATGAGGACATTCAATCCTCAAGAATTGAATAAAGGGTTTGGATTGAAATCCTGAGAATGTTAACAAAGAGTGCAATATGACTACAAAAACAAAGATGAGAAAACCTATTTAAATAAATTGATGTATAATAATGACAAATTCCTCATCTAAAAAAAAAAAATATTACATAAAAACTGAAAAAATTGTGGCTTTAAAATTTGCTTACATTTTCTATTGTTTCTATTTGGTTTTCATTTCAGTGCTTTTTGTTCTATTAAGTGTTTGGAATAAGAAAAGCATAAAAGAAAAATATTTTAAGACTCTATTTGAAGTTCTTGTATTTGACTTCCTCACTGAATCATATATTCTCTGATTCATTGTAGATATTGATGATCTACCCAGACATATCCATTCCAAACTTTTTGATGAGCTTCTTGATAAAAATGTACAAAGTGGTAAGTGAATTTTTTTTTTTTTTTTTTTAAATAAATCAAACAATATTAAAAAAAAATAATTTAAAAGTTTAACATGTACCAGTTTTCTCTTTCAAAACATTATATATTTTTCTGTGGTATTTCAGATATAAACAAATTACTATTATATTCACATAATTTTGGCTGCTGTATGCTCTGGCCTTCTTCAGGTGATATACATTGGAATTTTGAACCAAACTCTTTATTTAGTCCATGGAGGTAGATTGTGCCATACCTTTTTTTTTTTTGGCAATCTCAGTTTCAGTTATTTCCCTTTAGTAATTCAACTCTCCGAGTTTTTGTTCACCTCTGCTGTGGCTGGATATTGAACTCACAACTCTTTGGGTCAAGTCAACCAATACTTTATCTACTGGGCCATGTGTCTATTAATATACAGAAAAGAATAATCAAAATAATTTTTTTCTCTCTTAAAGTGAGAAAAATACAATTCTTAATTATGCTTAATTTTGTTTGACTCTTAGGGACTGAATCATTTTTGTTATTCACTTGGAAAAATGATAAGATAGGGTGTGGCAATAAAAAAAAAATTCTTGCAGAAGTGTTTTGGCTCAGTAACAGTAACCCAGGTAACTGCAATTTTAATTTATACTTTAAACAATTTTTCTCACCCAGTGGCCATAATAAACTGAATGTATACTTAGTAGAACTAAAATATTATTGTTCTTTAGTTATTGAAAATTCCAGCTGATTATTCTTTTATTGATAGTCATATGAATTTCAGGCATTACCATCATTCTCTAGAAGATATTAATCTTTAAATTAGAAAGAATTAACAGTAATTACTGCAGTGTTTTGTGTGTATGTAGGAGGTGTTCTAGACAAAAAATATTTTTAAAAAATACAAATATCTATTTGATTAAATTTTCAGAAGTTGGTTGGTCAAGAGTATTTTCAATTAAAGCAGTATTCTTAAAAAGTTCATGAATACTTTTTAACCAGTGTTTTGTTATAGTTTCTCTTTGTTGATAGTTAAATACAATGCTGGAAAGTTACTGAAGATTGAGAATTTTATTGCTTCAAAGTTTGTTGAAAACTTTTCTGTAATTGATAAAACCAAAAATAATTCCCATTGTAGCAAATACTGAAACAAGTTCTTATTGAAATAAGATTTAAAAAAGAAAAAAATCTACTGTAGTTTTTTTCTTTTTTTATATCAGCTAAAAGAATTATATTTATATACATTTTGATGATAAATTAATGACATGGGAAATATTGTTGTGCACACAAAGGTGACTGTATTTACTTGCATATGATGGCTGTTTGGTAAATTGCCTCCAGTTGGAATTCACTATTACAAGAGGATACAAGGAAAGAAAAGAATCTATGTTTGTTTACAGCATGATTAGAGTTAAAAATAAAAATGTTTTTTCATTCTATAAATTTCTTTTCAATAACTTGATAGAAAACATTCAATTTTTACCATTTTCTTATAATGACTACTTGCATTATTTACATTATTTGGACTGTTATCCATATCTTCATTGCCATATTCACAATGTTTTAGCCATTGTATGCTCCGGCCTTCTTCAGGTGATTGGAATTTCAAAGTGAACCCTTTATTTCATCCACCAGGGTAGATTGTTCTAGTTCCATGTGCCATGCCTCTTTGGGTCTAGTCACTGTATCTAACCAACGTTTTTATCCATTGGGCCATATGTGCTTGAGGACATCTGTGTATGAATTTTTGGGACTTATAAACCTAATGTCTCAGTGAAATTTTTTTACCAATGTGCATATTGCAATTTTTTTCTGTTATTATTATTGCATTTTTTACCAGAGCTTATACTGCAATTTTTGTTGTTATACATTGCATTTCTCTAGCACTCCTTATTAGTGGTTCCCATATTGTATTAATTTCTATGCTTGGTCAGCTCAGGAGATGTCTTATAATGACATTGTACAAAATTTTAAACTGATTGAAAATTAAGGAAAAAACACAATGTAGTAAAAAAAAGAAAAAAAAAAAATGTAAAAATTTCTTTAAAGTGGTCAGAATGAGATATGTACCTGATTAAGTAGTTTATCTACTAGATTTTTAACATGGAATAATTTTTATGATGACTTATGAATGACAAAATTGAATTGTAATTTATCTTATTCAAAACAATGGTTACTGAGAAACTAGGAGACTTGTCAACTATACAACATTTTATACAGAATTTTTGTTTCAGAAATTATTAGTTCTACTTACACACACACACAATCAACAGTAGTCATCATGTTGAATCTTCTATTGAACATTTTAGATCAATAACTCTTGGGTGAAGATGAATGTAAAAAATAAATCAATTCTTAAAGAAACGCATTAATGTTTACCCAAATATTGAACTTCCTTTGAGAAAACAAATTTTGTTGCATCTTGAAAATAGATTTCATGTTGTACCAAATCACAGATTTTTAATAGATTAATTTTAAAATTGTTTCATTTGTTCATTCAAACTGGAGAGGATTCTTGCATGTTGACTGTTTTTGATAAAGTGACTTTCTTTATAGAGTAATTTTGTATGAAAGTTTTTGTGTGTGTGTGTGAGAGAGAGAGAATGTATGGAATTTGTATTATATATATGTTTTAAGATTATATATTGACTATCACATGGTGTCTTAAGAAATCTTTGTTGCTAAATGGAGATAAAACCCTTCCTGACAAATTTTATCATAATCATTATTTGTTCATCTTAAGTGCATGGATGAGATGTTGGCAGGCAAATTTTACTAAGAATGTAAACTTTGTGATATGTCATTGTTCAGCTTATGTAATTCTTGTAAATTGGTTTGGAAGTTTACCAATCATTTTAATAGCAAAATCGCACCATGGCAAGATTGTAAAAATTAATCAAAATATAAAGTATCTTAATATCCAGTTCACTGAATATCTAATCTTTACAACACAAATATTGCAAGGGCATTGTTAAGAGAAATAGGGTTATCATAACATGTAGAACTTAGACATGTTCTTCTACTATGGAATTATTACATAATAAAATCTCAAAAATAAAACTAAATAATTTTATGCATACTTTCATTTAAAAGAAATATATAAGTTTTTCACTTACTATAAGAATGAATTACAGGAAATTGATTGGCTTCCATTTTGATTGTCAGAATTATTTTCTAACAAAAAAACAAAGCAAACATTAGTAATAAAAAAACAAAACAAAATGGAGAGCATATATGAAGAGGTTGATTTAGCTATGGTTGATTCAAACTAAGAATAACTTCAACACTCAAGATGATGCACACCCAAGTAATATAGAGAAAATACATGAATGTGGCTAATATATCATGATCTTATGAGATTAATCTTCTGTACTGGCTGAAAAAAGTTCATTTTTTGAAGGATGAGTAGTTCACATTTTTTTCTACTGTCTACATATCTTTTTCTCTCTCTCTTATATATATATATATATGTGTGTGTGTGTGTGTGGCAAGACTTTGCTTAAATATATTTTATTAGATAGAATAGACAAGGGATGTATGTCTGTAAAGCCTTTTGATGCAAATAGATGCCATAGATAAACATTTAACACTTTGCATGTACCCTAGTCAATTTTAGTGACAATGTAATAATCTGTTTCATTTTATCTCCATCACTATTAATATAGATTGACTTAGTTACAAGTGCAAATAGAGGTTTCTTTTGCTTTAAGCATAACACCTGGTTTATGTGATTTTATTTTCTCTTGTTTTCAATTAATTTTATCTAACAAAATCATCTGATTTCCTGTAAACTGATCTCTACATAGAGTTCTATAACTGATAATGCTCCAAGTCATATTTTTTTTAATAATATTGGTAACCACTTGAGCTAGGATAGGTATGATTGTACTGTCATCACCATCATCATCAATGATACAATTCAGAATGGGCTGCTCTAATCGTGCACTCAGCTGTAGGATTTTTGTTTTGGTATTTCTTTTTTTCTCAATTCTATGACTATGCCTTTTGATCTTAAGAAACTGTCAGTCACTAAATTTAACATATTGAACCAGGGTCAGTTCTGTACACAGTATAGAGACTCACAGCACTCTGCAAATCACTTTAGGCTATCAAGGTACTCTTTTTGAAGGGGGTCACCTTCTCACCTGGAATTGTTCTTGTATTGAGTACAGGATGTTATCTATTGTAATTATCTTACTGTCTAGTTTTCCTGAGAATATCAGCATAAAACATGGAACCATTGCTTTCTGAACTGGAAGTAGAATACTAATGTAGGAATCAATTTTGCATGTCTGCTATTAGAACTGGCTCCAGATGTAATGCATAAAAAATTCCATCAAAACCTTATGCAGCTGTAATTTTGGTGGATACTGCAGTTTAATATGTAAATATTCCAGCTGATAAGTATATAAATATTTCCTAATGACTGATTCTTTCAGTTTTAACATGGCATACCATTCTGTTATTAGTAGGCCATCTTTAGCTACTATTGTGACCTGTAAGTATCTCTTGTGATCTTTTAATATTTAACTTCTTTGATGACAATGTTCCTTGTTTAAGGTGTTTAAGTACTCACAGGAGAATTGTAAACCGTACAACACTGAAATTTGAAAGTGTATTGGGATAGTGAAAGATACCTTCCAAAGGTAAGTAAAGTATTAAGAAACAGGATAAATTCATTGGAAACAAAGAAAAGAGTGCTGAACTGAACTGTTATGTAATATCAGTCCTCCTATATAATAGTGAATGCTGGACAATCTCTTCACAGATGAAGAGGCTTGAAGCAACAGAAATACATTTCTACAGAAGGATACTGAGAATACCCTGAATCAAACATGTGAGCAATGACACAGTTTTAGAAAATGGAAACAAAAAGGGCACTAATAGTTAAGATCAGAAAGAAATAGTTGAAATTTCTAGAGCACATAATGAAGAAAGAATGCTTGGAAAATTTGATCCTCATAGGAGATTGAAATCAAGATGGCCAATGCATAACCTATCTACTAAATGGAGCAAGGTTTAGA